TTTTTGTGTTTGTTTGTTTTGTTTTGTTACTCCATCCCCATTGCCATATTAGTTGGCCAAACATATGATGATTGGTTTAGGCACTCGTTTTTGTTTGGGCACAAAGCCGCACAGTTCTGTTTTCAACTTTTGGTACTATCGAACTGGGATACCGGTCTAGACGCCCGGGCCGCCACTGGGGAGGCCTGGATGGCCACACCAGGCTAGGTTCGCGATGACCCCAGCATGAAACTTTTTAAAAATCTGGAAACAAAACATGTTGTGTAGAAGTGTGATATAGACGACTTTTGGTTGAGGGTGAGTTCTTGAATTCCATATTTATAATGATTATTTGATCTATATCTCCAATCCCCACCCCAACGCAGCCCACCCCTATCCCTACTGTCCTCGCCCCCCACATCCACACAACCCAAAGGGCCAAAATACTGGAAGAGGAAAAGGAGCCCGCATTCGGGCTGATCGTGGTGGGTGCAGAAATGTCCCACCAATAATCGAGCAAGGGCGAAAGAAAAATCAGGCTTTTTGAGGCACTCAGGGTGACCCCCAAGGGCAGCTTGTCACTTCTGAATTGCATATTTAATATTTATATATCCCCCCTTCCCCCCCCTCCGCAGCTCCACCCACAACCGAAAACACTGGAAGAGGAAAAAGAGCCCGCATTCAGGCTGATCGGGGTGGGTGCAGAAATGCCCCACCGTCGATTGAAAAAAGGGAAAAAGAAAAATCGGGATTTTCGAGGCACCCAGGGAGACCCCGGCAGGCGCCTGCCCGGGTCGACTTGCCTGGGTGCCCTGCCGGGCTCGACTTGCCCAGATGCCCGGCCCAGCATTCTGGGTAACCTACCCTACTACCGAATAATAACGAAATTATTTTACACCCCAGTGACTCCACCCTTCGATGTGACTGCGTGGTCCACACGTGAGTTGTCAATAAACAAATTGAAATTCAGATGCTGATAAATGGATTAGTGTAAGAGGTTTCCCTAATTTAAGAGGGGGGCGGGGGGGCGGGGGAAGGGTGCGGGGAGAGGGATTTGAATTTTGAACCGCCGATATTTTGTAATATGTCAGTTTTCAAGACTGATATCGTCAACCACTCAGACATCCATCCAAAGCAAAACACGCCCTCGTACCTTTCTTTCCGCTCCCCCATCAAATACATCGCCCGCCAGTGAAGATAAGATCCGGGCTGGAGCTTCTTCCCCATATACTTACTACAAATAAAATCGGATCTTGCTTAGTAGACGGTTGCCTCTTAGTCTTTTTTTTTCTTTTTTTTTGTGTGTGTTTTGTGGCTTTTGCCTCTTAGTCTTTGAGTGAAGATAGGGAGACTTTACGGATTGACTTACCGTGAGGGCAGTGCGCAGCCCATAGTTTGTTTGTTGATGCGGTTGGGGAAGGGTGACGTAGTGATTACGGTGTGTGTATGTTTTGCTATGTCCGCTGTTCACAACTCGAAGAGTGTTGGGGGGGGGGGGTTCCGGCTGGTGCTCTATTAACGATGTTCATGGGACACCGGACCCAGTTTCCAGCAGGTGCCACTCCCCACCAATAGACAACAGAATGTGTGTGTGTGTGTAAAAAAAAGAGAAAAAGAGGGGCAGAGAGAGAGAGAGAGAGAGAGAGAGAGAGAGAGCCCTGCAGCATGCACCATGTCAGTTGCGGGGAGCACAAGGGCAGGCGCTGACCTCCAAAAAAAAAAAGAAAACGTAATATGCGATTGGAACACGAGAGTTTTTCCTTTCCGAAATTCGAGTAGAAAGGGCACATGTTGTATTTGAAGTTTTGAACACAACGTGCACGTGTTCTCCGAACTGCTCTTCCATTTGAGAAAAGTGGACCCATACCGTTTCGATTTCGGAATGTTCAAAACTCGAGGACCGGCCTGCTCGGCCTCCTACGGGCAGCTACTGGTCCTTCGCATGCCCCGCCCCTTGCTAAGCCCTGAAACCTCAAAATGCCCACCCTCCCGAACGACCACCGACGTTCAAATTTCAATGACGTCGAAATGTCTCAGAGGGGGGGAACACAACCCTGAACGGGCTGCGAACTGCCCCAAAGTTCCCCAAACCTGCACTCCAGGATTACTCTGTTTTAGATATTTCTTCGCTGAGTAACCTGCCAGCAACGCTCACTCTCTCACTCTCCTACCTCTCCATGTAACAGGCCATGCACTCCTCAGCTTGATTGGTATGAGATACCACTGGAGTGCTCACCACTTTTTATCACTATTTTTACCGTGCACCGTCTCACAACAAATTTGGGTGGGCTTTCAATTCTTCTCTGAATGTTACTACCGTAGCATCTTTTTTTCTTGAATGCATGGCGCCCTTGTGCGGGGACCACGCTCATCTTCTCTCTCCGTATCGTTCCAGGTTTAGCGGATGTCCCAAAGGACAGCAGCTTTAATCTTCAAAAGATTAAAAATTTACTGAAGAAGTTATGGGTTGATATATGTGATTTATGATGCGCAGCGTTGGGAGAATGAATGAGGCCTTTTCAATGTTAAGGATGCCCCGAGAAACAAAGAGAGAGAGAAAGAGAGAGAGAGAGAGAGAGAGAGAGAGAGAGAGAGAGAGAGAGAGAGAGAGAGAGAGAGAGAGAGAGAGAGAGAGAGA